TAACTAAAAATAAAAATATGTTGTTTGTCCACAATATCGACAAAACACGACTTCAAGTACTTATTCAGACCGTTATTTTCCTGTGTTTACAGAACAGCCTATTCTATAGTATCCGCTTTTATTAACATTATTGTCAATATTGTGTAGTATATTAGAGAATACACGAAAATCTTATATAATTGTATTATGAGTATTGAGAAAACATACAAAAAATATATTTAATGTCTTATACTAAAAGGCCATTGAAATTCAATACAAGGACTCGTTTGCGATGTTTTTATTTGCCGTATATTTATAAATACGGCATAAAGTATACGTTGAGAGCAATTGTAAAGTGTTTTCATAAATTAATGAATTGCTTAGATCTCCTCGGCAGTGCTTGAAATGTCTTTGAACTTGAAATTTGAAAAAATGTTTCTCAAAAAACTCGTTCCTGAATGAGATGCCCGGGTAGTAGTTATCATACGATTATACATACATATGGGGAATACAGTACACAAACACTCGGATAGGAAACACAACTGTCTTTCCTGTGGTCCACACAAGACGTGTCACTTCATCGGTATATTTGGTGTCAAAAACTTATCGCAAATTTTTCTGCATTTATTTTTTTCTTAATTAATCGACATTTGAGCAGAATTTTCGTATATATAATACTTATGAGTGAGACTCAACTGCTAAGCAAAGTTTTATAAGCCATCCGTAAAGCCATGACTTCTTCACCAACACCGACATCGGCAGTGAATACGCCACCGATTGTGACAAATATTCAAATAAGTGGTGAAACACCGAGTTTTAGTGAATTCTTTGTGGATTCTTACAAATACTTTGTGGATAATGTCTTATCGCTGAAGAGCTACAAGTTGAATGACTTTCAAAAGGATATAAAGTTTTGTTTTGAACGGATAACAGTATGGGATATATCACTCATCATTGTCCTCACAATTGTCTGGACTTTCGGACGATTTCTGGTTACTAAACACATCTTTAAGGTATTGTATGACAAATATATAGTCAATATTTATCATTCTCTAGTGTTTACACACAAAAAGCTATTTCAGTCTCATTTTAATTAAAATAGTACACAATTTATTAAACATTGTCTTCCTTTAAATGTAATGTTGTTTTAGTGTAAACACAATAAACGATACATTGATTGTAACAATTGTGAGGCCATTGAAACTAATGCTCTGTTAAGTGTAAGTCTCGTTTGGGTCAATAAACCCGATCCCTAGACTGCAACGGCTAATCACTTAACACAGCTCTCTCTCTCTCTCTCTCTCTCTCTCCTCTCTCTCTCTCTCCAATTTAAATGAAATGTTTTCCACTTTTCCACTAAAATCTCATTAAATATTAGCAAAATTTTAAAAACACATTAAGAAAATAATACACTTAATTGCATTTTCTATATCTGTTTCTATAATTAAATAATTAATTCACAAAACAAATGCACATTTAAAGGAAAACAATATTAAAACCCAAAATAAACCCAAAACTTGAAGATGTATTCAAAAACATATTTTTCCAACTAATGAATATCGATAGCCCATCGGATCCTACTTTCAATTGTCACGACAAGACTCGGCGAAGATGCCGGAGAGCGCCTGGAAGTTCCTGTTTTATCTGAGCACCTGGTCCTCAATGGCATACATCATCCTGGTGAAAAAGCGCTGCTCGTATTTCATTAACCCCTCCATCGTATGGCAAAGTACTGTCAACGAGATTAACGCCTGTATTATGCAATCAATACTAATGCCGTTTAAATATGTTTACAAACAGATTATTCAATCGATAGCGCAATCGAGACCGATATTTATGTCATATATTTGATTCAATTAAGCTTTTATTGTCATTCACTGTACTCTACGCTACGTGTGGATCAATGGCGAAAAGATTCGCCGACTTTGATGGTTCATCACGTCCTCTGTGTCCTACTTATCTCAATATCTTTAGCCACAAAGTAAGTCAAAACACTATTTATTTTGCTTTTAATCGCAAAATATTTTCCAACACTTTATTCATGAGTTTGTTATTCTTTAGTCCCTGTAATTGCTATAAACAGTTTGGAAGTTTTATTATTATTACCACTCGTTTAATATTTAAATTAGTCGTAAGGTTTTATCTCACAATTTATTTATTTTATTTTAATATAATTCTCAAAAGTCTTTTCATTTTTAATGGAAAATCTTATATTTATCTTTGCACTAAATTAACAAAAAAAAATTTAAAACATTTTGACTTTTCTTTTATACAGTATTAACAAAATTCTGTTATTTCCAGTTTTAATTAGCAGTTATATTTATTTATGTATTTGTAATAAAGTTATAGTTTTTGACTGAACTAATAACGGAGAAGTTAATCCACTTATTTGAAGTCATCATTATATTTGATGAAAACAAACAAAAATAGGTTAAAACTGAAGTTTAATTAGATTTTTAAGTCTTAAGATCTGTAAAAATATATGCATGCTACTATCAATTACTTTATCAGTACATAACTGAATTTGAAATTAACTCAAATATTTGTTTTAATTTTTTACTATACAATTATTATTTACATTTTATAAAATTAACTTAAACTAAGCGTGTTATTTGATTATTAAATGATTATATTGAAAGGACTCACAAATCAGGACTGTTTGCAATGTTTTTACACGACGGGTGCGATATTCTACTGGAAGGCACCAAATTGAGCCGATATTTCAAAGTTCAGGGTGGAAAGACTGTTAAGAACATGGACATAGTGACCAATATTGGGTTTGGGTGTTTTATAATGGCCTGGTATGCAAATGTCTATCGCATTTAATTTAATATAAATACAAATTTGACTATATTTATGAAATATTCATGATAATATTCTTGAAGTTTCTAAAATATCGATATAACACAGCATCAAGTATAAACAAATACAATTCAAAATCAATACAGTTTTATTAAGAATAGCTTTTTTATGTTTTGCAATATATTTAACTCTAACATAAAAATAGCAATAAATAATTTACTCTTGATAGTAAGACAAGAAATAGGAAATAAAAAATATTTTCTAATAAATAATACAATGAATAATGAAATACCGAAATATAGTAAAAACAATTTAATAAATAAGTTATATATTTAGTAAGAATTTGTTTACTAGTGTCATAAAATAGTTAAAAATAAACATTGCTTGATTGATAATATAATATAATTTAAAATATTCAATATTGTACGTAGGTTATACTGCCGTCTCTATTGCTATCCACTAAAGCAAGTGTATATGGCATCGGTGTATGTGTCGGCCAAACAAATTAAGGTGCCTTTCATTCTACCAATTGTTGCAATGCTTTGGGTCCTGTTAATGATGAACGTCTACTGGTTTACGGTATGCCATAATAGCCATTCAATTAGTAGTTCTCTTGTCTAATGAAGTGTTTGTGAATTGCTTTGAAAGTTCATATTGAAACTGTTGTATAAAGTAATAACGGGTCAAATCAAGGAATTGGACGATAATAGAGAATATTCTGAAGACAAGAGTTCAAAGACATCTGAAGAGTCACTCACTAATGGTCGCTATTATCTGAGACAACGAAAAATTGATTACAGTTTACTACATACGGGAAGATCACAATAGTGTTCAATTACAATTATCTCATATTATTTCATAAACTTTTACTCTTTTGTCAAAACAATAATTAACTGGTAATCAATTCAATGAACTTTTCATATGTTTAGAGTCGAGACTCTAATTAATTAATTACAGACAATAAACTTATAGCTGAATTGAACTAACAGTGCACTTGAAAAGACCCTTCAATTAAGTGGTTTGTTATTCAAGAAATACACTAAAACTTTGTTTGTTATCAAGCAAAATTATAATGACCATAATATAATTATATAGAAAATTTATATTCCGTATATTTTTAATATAAATTCTTGCATTGACTGACAAATTTTTACTCAAATTATTTGCGTTTGCCATTGATTTATATACCATTAAAATCTCTACATTTGTAATGAATATTCAGGGAATTGTTTACAAAATATACGAATATCACATAATAGATTTACACTTAACATTTTTTGGATTTTTTGTTTTATGATATTTGTTTTACAATTAAGAATTTGTTGCTTTTAATGTAAATAATTTTATTATAATATATGAATTTATAATTTTTTATATTAAATATAAGCAAATATTTTTGTAATACTCGTGATTCATTTAATTAACAAACGTATTGATCGCAACTGCATTTCCTACTAATAAGTCTTGGTTTTCAATATCACTATCACTGCTGCCTATCATTACATTGGGATTGTAAGGTCTGGTAGTGTTTGCATAGACGGGAGTATGTCTTTTGTCTTTATCTAGAATCACTCCAATCTTTTGGCCGGTATTGTGATTATGGTTAAGTGAACCGACAGACGATGACCTCTTCCTACTCGTAAAACAACAGCAAACCATATATATCGACAATATAACGATCAACACAACTGTTACGCAAATTACTACAATAGTCGTCAAATCCATTGTTAGTGTTTGTATTCAAACTGAAATTCCTTTCAAAGTTTACTGTTAATGAACGTCAACGCTAATTAATAACAAAATATTTAGTTATAAATAACTATCTATAAGATGAGGTCAATAAAGAGCTATTTTAAGGACAAGAATTTCAATTAAATAAATATTTAAATAATCTATTTTTTCAAACACTGAGCCAAATATTGTTTAAAAGCGTTTCATATTATGATAACTAATTTGAATAATAGGCGCCTTTGAGATAAAACACACAATTTTCTTTTACGATTGTTTATTCATAACCGAAACATATTTATTATTACAAAAGAATTAAATTCAATGATTGAGTGCATGGCTCGAGAATAACCGCCAGAATAATTGTCTCACATTTTGAGTACTACTGTATGGCTACAGAATAATTGTCTCACATTTTGAGTACTACTGTATGGCTACAGAATAATTGTCTCACATTTTGAGTACTACTGTATGGCTACAGAATAATTGTCTCACATTTTGAGTGAATTCCTGCATTTGTCGAGAATCTCTTTTCTCACTTTAGGATAATCGGGAAATTTGGTCAAAATCTCTTTGCAGACGTCGATGGCGTCGACGTGTCGCTTGGCTTTCATGTAGTTGAAGGCCAGTTTGTAGCCAATGTTGGGGTTATTGCAATTGGTGAACTTCCAGGCCAGGTCGTAATTCTGTGCGGCATCCCTATAGCTCTGCTCCTTCTCCATTATGTAACCCAAGTATTCATACGCTTTCATACATGACTGCAATGTGCAGTAATGTCAACCAATATCATGAGTATTATGTGATGAACGCAAATATTGTCGGAATATTACAAAAGTCATTAGACTTTAGCGGCAATGATATCACATTTTTGAGGCTTACTTTATTATAGAGCAACACTTTCTTCAGCAGTTCAATAGCCATATCGTATTTACCCGATTGGGTGTAGATGTCAGCCAACAGGAGCCAACATTTCTCCAGATATTCCGCTTCCTTTCAATTTATAATTAAATTTGAGTTTTTTTCGCAATACATCTCAATATATCTCACTTGAAAATTCCAACTATTTTTAGCCACTCTTTTCAAGTGATTCCTGGCTTTTGGTGTTTGCTTTATAATCATGAAAGCTGTGGCGACCCCCAGAATTGCCGCCACATTATCTCTCTATTATTAAACAATCGTATCATTAATTCTAGAAATGAATGACAAAAACAAAAGTTCCTACATATCTGTCATCGTTTAATAGTTTCATAAATTCATTGAGTGCTAAATCCGCTTCATTTTTAGTCCTTTTGGCCAATAATACAAAGTTGCAAATTATGTGAAAGTCCAGATCATCCAAAACTTTGCCTTTCAGGTCCTAAGCATTTTAATAATTAATTATAATTTTGTTTCTAGGATTAAACTGCTTATTGATTACTCACAGATAAAAGTGAATCTGCTGTCTTGATGGCAGCGCCTTGGTAACTATCCTTTTCCATTGGACTATAAATTCAATTATAATTGTAATTAATTTCAGATAAAAGTTATGAGCTCGTTATACTATTATAGATCAATTATACCTGAGCTGAACCATAGTTTCAAACGTTTCACCTCCTATGGTCTCATTGTCGGGATTAATGCATATCTCGATCATATGATACGTTACTTGAACACCTATTTCTGGGTCCTGTCGGGCTTTATTAAAACTTTTCAGTGCTTCGTTATTATCACCTATTGTACAATACATCCATATTTGTGAAATTCCTAACTAAGTTAACTAATTATTTGTTTATTATAAGACCTGTAAACCACTCATAAAGTCCTTTGGCATAATGATAACCAGGGTCCAATTGAGTTCGTGGGGAAAACTTTTCAGCCTTTTCGAGAACGGGAGGAATGAGATCTAACTGACCGACACGTCGAGCAGTTTCTATCAGTTTATTCATTGCCTGATAATATGCTATTCACACGAAAAATAGTGAGAATTCTTCAAATATTTCACTCTTAATGACACATTACTTGGTTTTCTAGTCAATAGTTCGTTAAAATGATTGAGTGCTCCCTCGAAGTCGTTTTGTCTGAATGTTAGGTCTGCCATCATCTGAAATAATGATTATATAGTTTTCTTTAATATCACTTTTAAAGTATAATTTATGAAATAATAGTCTGGGTGTCAGACCAGAACGGGTTCATCCAAATGGGGCGCGTGTTTAAGGATAGCCACACAATAGTTGTGTGCGATATCGAAGTTCTGGTTCGAGGCCTCCAGCTTTGCCATCAACATCAGGATCTGACAGACAATTGATAATTCTTGAGACAGCGTTCATATAGTCATTATTTGCTGCAAACCTCAGCGTTTGCCTCATCGTAATTGAGTGCTTCCTTATAGACATTGAGGGCCTGTTTGTTGTCTCGCAAGTGATTTGATATAAGTTCTCCCAATTGTTTACACAAACTGCAAATGTTTTATACATGAATATACAAAATTAGATTTACACTAATGTATGAAATTGAGGACCTGATGGAAAACTTTTTCTGCTCTGCCAGTAGATCTGGCTGTTCGACAGGCAATCGTCTCATAAGTCTTGCGATAGAAAAATATAATTAAATTATTTTTTATTAAACAGTCGTTTCCAGTGTATCTACTTTTGGTTTGTCTGATGCGCCCGTTTTAATGTAGCGATCGCCGTATCCTTGTTATCGGTGTTTAGTTGCACCTGTCCTAATAGGTTGACCAGTTTCACCTCCCATTCCAGTGATTGTAAATCTTGAGCTAATTGATAAAAAAATTTGATTTTTTTGTTACTAAAAATTATTAAACTTGCATTGACTCTGAGATATTTCCAATGCGTTTGTGATAATAGTTTGCGATTCACACATAGAGAAGTTTGCGGTGTTATCCACGCGGTTTAGCATAGCCTTCCGTAAAACAGGTGATCAAAATTACCGGCGAAATATCATGCACTGTCGGACCAGTAATTCAGTAATCCCCAAACTTTTACATAAACATGTGTTTTCTCGACTATAATTCAAACCTTTTCATAGAAATGTGTTTTAATCAAGGCCTGTCCAACTTTTCTGGTAAGAATCCAGTCCTTGGGATTCTTTTTGAGCGCCTGTTCATAGATTTCAATGGCTCTCTCGGGCTGTCCGTCCAATACAATTGCATTAAAAAATGTGTCAATTTATTGATGATATGTCAAATACCTCCAGAATATGCATATAAGCGTCGCCTAGCATTAGGAATGACTGAGTCGTCGGCTTTTTATCCAATATCTCTCTGTTGGTCATGTATTCAAATAAAACAATTTTACTCAATGTTTGTACTGTATATGAATTTTATTTATATTTTCTCATAAATTAATAACTAATTAACAATTAAAATTTAGTATATTAATATTCGTAAAATCTGATTTAATTTGTAAATATATAATTGCATATTGTATATTATATTAGATAGAGATTATAAATACATGATAATTATATTCTAAATAAACTTGTCATATAACTTAGATGAGTATGAATTGTATAATAAGAGTAACAATTTGGTATAATAATAGGTATAGATCACATTTGTAGGCACATGTTTCGATAAAAAGCACAACTTTAGTACAACGAGAATCACTTTAGCATTTAATTAATTAATATTACTACTACAAATAATTAATCTATTATGTAAAATGTGTCTAAATGTGACCACCAGGCCTACCAGGAGAGTCGGCGCTCAATCTTATTTTTAACAATATCTACAAACCTATAACAGCCGGCATATAGTCGTCGGTCTTTCCTATGCTTGAGATACATGAGAGCCATGAGTTCCCGGGAGCGCACGAAATGGTCGCCGTGTTCTAGCTTTATGTCCCGCAATAGACTCAATGCAGTCAGCTACAGTGGGGACCGGAGACGGTTGACTCGCAAACGATAGTATTAGGAGGGGAGCAGGCCACACAGGGATGTCAGGAGGTCATTTAGTAAGTTGTCAAAGCTCGGGAGGCAGATTTAGTATTAAGAATTGCATTTAAAAATTAATTAAATGACAGAATATATTACAGAATAATATAGTGGTATGAGAATACCGTTTGATCGTTGAGGGAGTAAATGTCAACCATTTGTAAAATAAGTGAGATTTTGTTATTCTGTGCCATTTCATAGCCCTTTCGATTAAAATTCGCTATATTTTAAGTGAATTAATAAAAATTAGTTTTATTTCATTATTATAAATGAGTAAATATTGCAACCGAGGCCTGAATTCAGTAGTTTCAAGGCTTCCTCATATTTTCTCTCAGTTTTCAAAACCGATGCTTTTGTCAGAATGTATTGAATCTGTTCTCTGATCTAAAAATGAAATTTGTTTATAAGTTATAAACTTTTTAATCATGAATTTATTACATTAAAGTCATGGCTAAGCGCCACTTCCAGACTCTTTGAGGCCGTCTGATAATTGCCATAATGTATGGATATCTGTGCCATAAGAAGGTGTCCGTCACTGAACGATGGATTTTGGTCCAGACATTTCTGCAATAGACTGATAGCCGCCTGAATATCTCCGCTCAAGTATTTCACTTTTGCCATCAAATATAGCGGCTCTTTCTGTGTGGGACAGGNAAATGAGTAAATATTGCAACCGAGGCCTGAATTCAGTAGTTTCAAGGCTCCCTCATATTTTCTCTCAGTTTTCAAAACCGATGCTTTTGTCAGAATGTATTGAATCTGTTCTCTGATCTAAAAATGAAATTTGTTTATAAGTTATAAACTTTTTAATCATGAATTTATTACATTAAAGTCATGGCTAAGCGCCACTTCCAGACTCTTTGAGGCCGTCTGATAATTGCCATAATGTATGGATATCTGTGCCATAAGAAGATGTCCGTCACTGAACGATGGATTTTGGTCCAGACATTTCTGCAATAGACTGATAGCCGCCTGAATATCTCCGCTCAAGTATTTCACTTTTGCCATCAAATATAGCGGCTCTTTCTGTGTGGGACAGGCGTTCACTAATGGCTGCAAAATATCTTTTGCTTGTCTTAGAGATGGTGGTAAAGGCTGTCCCAAAATGATGGGCTCGTTAGGAGAGAATTGGAGATAGATTTTGGTTATATTGAGTATGAGTTCCGGTTCTAATTTGATGTAATACTCAATTCCTAGGGCTAAACCCTGTATGAAAAAATTGTTACAATACCTTGAACACTTTATATGACAAACAAACCTTCATCATTTGATTCTGCATTTCAACGATTTTGTCCAAATATTTAAGAATTTCTTGACTCGTTTTGCCTCTCTTTTGACCGGAGAGAGCGCACAGATATAGCAATTCCTGTGAAATAAACATTAATTATGACCTAGAAGATTTTAAACTACAATATAAACATTGATACTTTGCTCATTCCTGTGGCTTTATTAAACTCTTCGAGCGAATCCAACTGTTCCTCCACTCCCTTTTGGTTTTCAATGAGTTGACAGTGGAGTAGTCCAGTCAGCCCAACGATACTACTCTCGTCCATTTTAGTGGCATTCTTGTAGTGTCGCTGAGCGTCTGTCATCCGATCTGATAATCCAAACAATTAGATATTGTATTATAATAATAATCTAATTTACTATTAAAACTATAAATTACTCAATAATAAGCACTGGTATGCCTGTTCACAAATGAACACAATATTTGTTGGGTCCAGAAATACAGCCCTTTCTATTAGAGTCATTGTATTCGTCAAAACATTTTCATTCCTGAAAGCCTTTCAATAAAATTTTTTATTAAAATATTAAAACATTTCTAATTAGTGCCGTAAAATATTTGTAACTACTAATTAACTACTAAGAAATATAATTACAATTCTGGCAAACAGTTTAGCGCTTTCATAGTATAAGTCGGCGTTTTTAGGCTCTCGTATCTCAAACGATTGAATCAAATCAAGCAATTTAGAGGAAGCCTATTGACACACAAATAATTGATTATTAAATTATTTGTCTTATTAGTGTAAACATGAATACAGACGGCTTCTTCATTGTTATCCCAGGCCAGGCTGTGTAATATGAGGTATCTCTGAGCGTCCAAACAGTGTTTATCAATAGAGAGGGCACGAAAGGCTGTGTCCACCACTTGTTCCCAATCCTTAAGACTCGCCTGAAGTTTCATTTTCTCGATAAACGCCGGTAAGAATCGTGGATATAAGACAATGGCCTGATTTAGTTGCTCCACACCCGCTATAAACGAGCTGTTCTTCTCCAACACTTTGGCTTTTCCTATAATCACTTCCGGATCATTGCTGTCAATCATTAAACAATAAAAGTTATAATAAAGTCTGCATGCCAAACTTTAAAATATGACAATCCGTACGATTTGGATGAGATGTCAAAATAATTCATAGCCGAGTGATTCATGGAAGTAATGTCTTCATCACTGCCCGACAATACCTCTAACCATCCCTTCAATATTAAGCCCTATTTTCAAGAGCAATGTTGCCATTTTTATTACTAATTATTTATTTGACAAAATTATACCTCTTTGTAATTTGGAGACATTTTAATCATACGATCGATATATTCCTTTGCTTTTTCCAATCTCCCTGATAGCAGTAAAAATAATCCAGCAAAATACAATCCCTTATAAATGAGAGTAATTACTAATTAATAAACTAGGTTAAAATTTGATTATAACAAAATATTTGTAATATTGCATGAATTATAGACTACCGCTTCATTTGCTTGCTTTCGGTTTTCTCTTAATTTATTTTCCAATTGAGTCACCGTTTCCTTATCTAATTATATTTGGAAATTTGTTTTTTAAACATTGCATTTGATTAAACAGGGTGAATACGAAACCTATGACTTGGCATTTTCTGTGGGCAAATATAAGCGCCAAAAGCGATGCAATCTGTAGTTCCCGACTGGCCTGACACTGGTCCAGTTCCCTTATGCTCTCCTGTACTCTCCCTATAAGACAATTGTTATACTAATTGTCCACTAATTTCATATCAAATACCTTCAAATGCCAGTGAAATTCCATAATAGAAACGATATTGTTGTTCACCTTTCATTATATAACAAATTATCAAAACTTATTATACAAAATACCAACAAATTCTTTAATAAAAGTTGCTGAAAATTCAACTTTCATAAAGTGAACCTACCAGGGTACATTCTTATCCCTTCTAGAGCACTGGCTGCCATAGTTCTAAACATTTTGTTGAGACAATAATAATGAATTGTACCCTAATTTCAGTGATAAAAGTAATAATTAATTACAGAATATTCTGGACCAATCACTCACCCGCAATAGGATTTCATTAATATTGTCTCCCCTTTCAGACATTATTTCAATCATATGTTTCTTACAATGCTTTAGTAAAATGTCATTGTTTTTAATAATAACATAGACTATCAGTTGTTTATTATATAATTTAAGTATTTTCTAAATGCTTTTATACTTGAAGAGTAGGATGAAAAACATAACAAAGTGACCATGGCAACAGTGCCTGGCATTTTACAATTACTCTCTGGGTATTCAAAAGCTTTTATTTCCGATATCCATATTAATTAACTTATAAACTTTAAAATTAATGTTACTTATAAAAATTAGATATAATATTCTATTATAATAAACATAAGTTATTATAATCGATAAATTATATTGAAAATGATATATTAATAGTAGGTTTACAATTGTTTTGACGTAAAAAATACAAATGGATTTGAATAACTATAAGAATACATAAGAATAATAGACAATGAAATCATTATCAAACAATTAACTCTTAATGTGAATTAAAATAAATTATAATATAATGTAAGAGTATTGAGTAAAATCCCGATTATCATGTACAGTATATACTATTAATATATTATGTGAGCATTTCATATGATTTTTAAGGTAAAGTTTAAGGCAATAGTTTTGTGAATGTGTCAACCGTTTTATGAAATAATCTTTAAATTGCTTTTAAATGCAATTCAAAAGGCAAACCAATTGATGGCAAATACTGTAGTTAACTATTGCTATAAATTGTTCTTGTTTGAAAAATGTGAAATAAATATGAATAGTGGCCTACAATTGTAATGCTTAAAGAAGATTTAAAGTGTTATCTTGATAACCGTTGACCCCTTTGGTTACGGTAGTGTATGGCCACTGGAAGAGCACCTTACTGTCCAAACTTTGCATTGCAAAGGCATGAAATTCATACATTTCATATCCTTCATAGGAAATGCCTCAACATTTCAATGAACGCACTGTCAGTGTCTGCCATCTATCGGACCAATCGACTCGCAATTTCAGTGAGAAATCCTTTCAATTCACTCAACATTATACGAAATGGTTTGCAATTAATTATGATTTAAACGCTAATTACCACTCATTTGACACATAATTCACACAAAATATAATTTTATTTAATATGATATCCCATATACGAGACACACGAGTGCATGGTATGAGTGGTGGGGTGTGAGGGAGTGGTAAGTATGTGTTATGGGATGTAATGGTATATAG